TTCTTGGTTCATTTGTTTTGTTTTTCAGATTCTGCATATAAGTAAAATCATAAGGGGTTTGTCTTTTTCTGTCTTATTGTACTTAGCATAACACCCTCTAGGTCCCATATTTAGGTATTTGTTACAGCAGCACCTCACTTCCCTTTACCAAAATCTGTATTAGGGTTCTCCAGAGAGGCAAAACTTCTGTGTTGCAGAATTCCTTTTTCCTTGGGAAACCTGTTTTTCTCTTGGGGTCTTCACTGAATGGATGCGGCCCACCCACGTTATTGAAGATATTCTGCTTTACTTAAAGTCTACTGCTTGTAAATGTTAATTATATCTAAAAACTAACTTAATTAACAACATCTAAGCTGGTGTTTGACCAAACAACTGGACACCATAATCTAGCCAGGTTGACACACAAAATGAACCATCACAGGGATTGAGCAAATAAACTAGTATATCCATACAGTGGAACGCTTCACCATGTATTATTACTGACTAAAAGAAAGCAAGTTACATGAGATGTATAGTATGATCCCACTTTTTACTTAAAAATAGTTAGAAAAAGGGCACCTGGGTGGCTCAGTCGTTAAGCATCTGCTTTCGGCTCAGGTCATGATCCCAGGGTCCTGGGATCGAGCCCCGCATCCGGCTCCCTGCTCAGCGGGAAGACTGCTTCTCCCTCTCCCACTCCCCCTGCTTGTGTTCCCTCTCTGGCTGTGTCTCTTTGTCAAATAAATAAATAAAATCTTTTAAAAAAATAGAAAAAATATCAGGAGGATATATATGTCACTCAAGTGGTGGAGTTATGAGTGGTTATTATTTGTGCTTATATGTAATTTTTAAACTTCTGTGATAAATGTAGGTGTTCTTTCATATTACAAAATACCCCCCCAGCTTAATTGAGATATAATTAACATATAACATTATGTAAGTTTGAGAAATACGATCTGTTGACCTGATACATTTATATACTGCAATATGATTACCGCCAAAGCATTATCCATTATATCACATGGCTTCCATTTCTTTATTTTGGTGAGAACATTAAGATTTACCGTCTTAGCAACTTTCAAGCCTATAATACAGTATTATCAACCATAATCACTATCCTATAGATTAGCTCCCTAGAACTAATTTATTTTCTAACTGGAAATATTATTACTTGACCAGCAACTCCCTATTTCCTCCACCCCCTCGGCCCCTGGTAACCACCACTACTCTGTTTCTATGAGCCCAGATATTTTTTAGATTTCACTTATAAGTGACATCATACAGTATTTGTATTTCTCCATCTGACTTCCCTTAGCATAAGGCCCTCATAGTCCATCCATTTTGTCATAAATGTCAGGATTTTCCTCTTTCTCATGGCTATTTCATTGTATATATACATGCACCACATCTTCTTTATATATTCATACATTGACAAACACTTAGGTTGTTTTCATATCTTGGCTATAGTGAATAATCCTGCAGTAAACATGGGAGTGCAGATATTTCTTTGAGACCCTGTTTTCATTTCCTTAGAATAATACCCAGAAGTGAGATTGCTGGATCACATGGTAGTTCTATTTTTTATTTTTTGAGGTACCTCCATACTGTTTTCCATAGTGGCTGCTCCAATTTATGTTCCCACCAACAGTGCACCAGAATTCCCTTTTCTCCACATCCTTGCTAACATCTGTTATATCTTATAGCCATTCTAACAGGTGTGGGGTGATAGCTCTTTGGGGTTTTAACTTGCATTTCCTTGATGATTAGTGATGTTGAGCATCTTTTCATATGTCAGTTGACCATTTGTATGACTTCTTCGGAAAAATATTCAGTTCTTCTGCCTATTTTTAAATTGGATTGTTTATTTTTATGCTATAGGGTTGAGTTTATGCTATTGAGTTTTTAAAATCTATTTTGGGATAGTAACCATTTATCAAATATATAGTTTGAAAATATTTCCTCCCATTTCAAAAATTGCCTTCTCATTTTGTGATCGTTTCTTTTGCTATGCAGAAACTTTTTAGTTTATTGTAGTCCCATTTATTTATTTTTGCCTTTGTTGCTTGTGCTTTTGGTATCACATCCAAAAATTGTTGTCAAGAACAATGTCAAGGAGTTTTTCCCCTATGTTTTCTTTTAGGAGTTATATATGGTCTCAGATCTAATATTTAAGCCTTTAATCCACTTAGAGTTGATTTTTGTGAGTAGTGTAAGATAGGGGTCCAATTTCATTCATTTGCATGTTATTGTCCAGTTTCTCCAACACCATTTATTGAAGAGGTTATGCTTTCCCCATTGAGTATTCTTGTGAAATATTAGTTCACAAAATATTTTAACTATGAAAATGTTAGATTAGCCATTCTTCCTCATCACTTCCTTCACTAAAATTAAGCAAGTTTGGCAGTAAGAACTTTAAAAAAGGCCATATATTTAACCCAGTATTTCTATTTCTCAAAACTTGACTTGGGAAAATAATCTAAGATACAGTTAAAGATTTATATCCAATGATACTCATCACAGAACTACTTATATAATAGGATAAATTGTCACTACTCCAATGCCCCCAAATTAGGGCTTGGCTAAATAAATCATGATATTGTGATACCATGAAAAATTAAAGTCATTAAACACTCATTCTAACAAAGGGTGAAAAAAGCTTGTTAGGATTATAAAATCGTATGTCCAAATAACATCTTTACAGTGTAAAAACACCTACTTACAGAAAAAAAAAGCCTGGAAGAAAATAAACCGAAATGTAAATAGCTAGGGGTGGTATTATGTATGATTTAAATAGTCTTCACAATGCTTTTCTCTGTTTTCCAAGATTTTTACATGGCATGTAGTACTTGAATCAGATGGAAAATAGAAAAGTGGAAAATCCAGTTTTAAAGCTATGGTTCCTCCACTTCTTGAGTGAAATTCATTTAGAGCAGGGACCAAAAAACTCTTCAATTTACTGAAAGCCATTTAGCAGAGAACTGATCTCTACATTGCAAATTCTATGGCTGAATCTCAGTCTTCAATTTGCTCAGCTGATCAGCAGCATCTAATACAGCTGATCACTTCCTCTACCCTGAAATGCTGTCAAATGAAAGCAGGACTTCCAGGTCTCCTTATTTCGCTACCTCTCTGTTCCTTGACTGGTGTTGCCTCAGTTCTCCACCTTCCAGCTTCTTCACTGTGAAATGTATCCCAAACTTTTCTTTACCTACATTCATTCCCTAGGCAGCCTCCATCAGTTCTATAGCTTTAGTACCATACATATGTTGACAATTCCCAAACTTTATTTCTAGGTCCCTGAGCTTCAGGCTTACATCGAACTGCCTTCTTGACATTTTATTTAATTGTCTATTAGCACACTGCTAGGGACAGAAAGAATTGTATTCTCCCCCAAACCCATATGTTGAAGCCCTAACTGAAATTGTGAACTGTATTTGGAGACAGAACCTGTAAGGAAGTGATAAAATTTAAACGAAGTCATAAGGGTGGGGCCCTAATCTGGAAGAGCTGGGGTCCTTATGTGAAGAGGAAGAGACACCAGAGTTCTTGCCCTTTCCTCAACCCCACAGTGAGGACACAGCAAGAAAGCAAGAAGGTGGTAATCTGCAAGCCAGGAAGAGAGCAGGACATTGATCTTGGACTTCCAACCTCCAGAGTTGTGGGAAAATAAATTTCTGTTAAGTCACACAGTCTGTGACATTTTATTATGGCACTCAAGTGGACTAATACAGCCACTCACAATTCAGTATGTTTAAAACCACCCTTCAAACCTGTACCTTCTTTAAGGTACATCATTTTTACAGTTGCCAAAGCCAAAAATCTTAGAGTTATCCTTTACTCCTCTCTCTCACTTTGCATATACTGTCAGTCAGCAACTCCCACTCTACCTTCAAAATACATTCAGACTGGAACCACTGTTCATCACCTTTACCCCTACCACCCTGGTAAAGCCAGCATTTCTCAACTGGAGTGCTGCAATCGCTGCCCTTGACCTTGTAACGGCTATCTTCAACACAGCAGCTCGTGTAGATTGACTTTTTCATATTGAATCAAATTGTCATTTCTCTGCTCAAAAATCTCTAACAGTTTCCTATTTCATAATAAAATTCAAAGTTTTTGCAAGAGCCTACAAAGCTCTACATCAGTGGTTCTCAAACCTGACCATCAGCATCTTGTGGAGGACAAGACTGTTGTGTCCCTAGAGTTTTGATTCAATAGGTCTGGGGTGGGGTCTGATACTTTGCATTTGTGCCTCTATTCAGTTTGAACGTTTCCGTCTGATGTTGATGCAGCCAGGGGACCTCGCTTTGAGAACCACTAAACTACACGTACAGTACTGGGTACTGAGTCTTCTCCCCCACTTCTTGCAGCCACACTGCTCCCCTCTCAGCTTCCTGTTAGAGGTCAAACCTGTGTGGTGGAGTCCTGGGCTCACACTGCTTCTCCCTTGGGATTTACGTAGGACACTGCCTCGCTTTTTCAGAGCTTTTGCTCGAATAATGCCACTCAAGAGAGGCATTCTTTTTTTTTTTTTTTCCCCTGGGAACTCTCCTGATCTATTTTTTTCATTTTTAAAAATTTAGATTCAATTAACATAATGTATTATTTGTTTCAGGGGTACAGGTGATTCATCAGTCTTATGTAATACCCAGTGCTCATTACAACACATACCTTCCCCAACGTCCATTACCCAGTTACCCCAGAGAGAGGCACTCTGAGGTCACTCTATTTAGAATGGCACTGCTTGTCCTCTGGGCCCTGTTTTATTTCTTCTTGGAGCTCTTAACGCCGTTATCTGTTTACGGCCCACATCTCTTTCAGAATTTAAGTTCCAGGCGGCCAGGGCCTTACTTTGTCCACTGTCCTACCCCAGCGGCTAAAAACAGTGCCTGGACTTCCATAGACATGCTCAATAAATATTTCATTGACTGACTACAGGAAGGAATGGGAGCGAAAAACGGGCTCCGGTAGGAGCACACCACGGACGAAACGCAGTCCCAAGGTTCGCTCGCCCACCGTGCGACCGGGAGCTCAGAGGCGGGACTTCCTGTGTGCTCGCCGAAAGAGCTTCCGGTGTGAAGCGGAAGTCCCCCTGGGAGCAGCCGCCGCGGAGACCCGTGGCACCGGCTGTTTGGTGCTGTCGCTGCCATGGGCAAAAGAGACCGGGGGGACCGCGGTGAGACGTGGCGCGGGCGCGCTGGGGCCTGCCTGCGTTCGCCGTCCTCATCGTCCTGTGTCGTAGCTGCTCCGGGTTTCTCAGCGGCTGCCGATCCCACAGTGTCTAGCGCGCGGCCTGTACATGCTGTCGCGACAGGCCGCTGGGCCAGGGGCGATCCTTGACCTTTGGTCGCTCTGGGTCGTGGGCCGGGTGGGAAGCATTTGAGGGAGCGCATGCCAGCGGCACGCAGGTGGCTCTTGGCTAGGAGTGTGCGGCGTTTGTGAAATACGGCTGCTGCCAGGCTTCCTCGAAATGCCGCTAGGAGGGAGCCCTAGGTTCCTCCTGCTGGGCTCACTTCTGTATCCGTATCTGCAGATAAGAAGAAGTCCAAGAAGCGGCACTACGAGGATGAAGAAGATGATGAAGACGACGTCCCTGGGAACGACTCTCAGGAAGCGGTCCCCTCGGCGGCCGGGAAGCAGGTGGATGAGTCCGGCACCAAAGTGGATGAATATGGAGCCAAGGACTACAGGCTGCAGATGCCGCTGAAGGACGACCACACCTCGAGGCCTCTCTGGGTGGTAAGCATACCCTCAGCTAGGGCAGGACCGAGAGTTTGTGGACCCAAAATAGAAATGCAGGGTACCACTCTCCGGAGCTGGCCGGAAGAGAGCCTTCATACATACTGGTGGAGCAGCCCAAGATAGGAATGAGCAGGTGCGGCACACATGTGCTGGCTAGACTTGGGCTGCCTTCATCTCCAGCCCTCCCTCTTACTCACCTTCCCTCCATTTCTACCGCCTGCATGGAAATACTTTTTTATTTATCGAATAAATGCCATTTACTATGTATTATTTTAATTCTCCATTTAAAAAATTAATGGGAGTTATGTATTTGCTAGGCAGCTCTTTTGCTCAACTTGAAGTAATTAATACTCTACCTTCATTTGAAACCTGGCCAAAAGGTACTTTGAGGATAGCCAATAAGGTGGGCTTTCCCTGTGAAGAATAGTGGGAAGCAGCTCCTGACTTTGGAAGCCTGTCCTTGTCTCTCCATTCCTTGTATCTGATTAAAGTAACAGGTCTCACGGTTGGCCGAAGGAGTGCTTACAAAAACATCCCGGGTGTTAAAGACTTTTTGGGCAGCTTCTCTTTTCTGGATAATGATCTGGGAAAGAGTCTAATAGTCTTTACAACTCATTAATTTCTTTGTCTGTTGTGCCCATTTGGTGTTTCTTAGGCTCCTGATGGCCACATCTTCTTAGAAGCCTTCTCTCCAGTTTACAAATATGCTCAAGACTTCCTGGTGGCCATCGCAGAGCCAGTGTGCCGACCAACCCACGTGCATGAGTACAAACTGACTGCCTACTCCCTGTATGCAGCTGTCAGTGTTGGGTTGCAAACCAGTGACATCACTGAGTACCTCAGGAAGCTCAGCAAGACGGGAGTCCCTGATGGAATTATTCAGTTTATTAAGGCAAGTGGGGGCTAAGGCCAGCTCTTTTGCCTTCCTTGTTAACGTAGTAATAGTGGAGACAGATGCTGCACTCTGTCAGCCTGTGGCAGTCATGAAAATGCCATTCAGATCTCATGTGGGGAGCTCGCATAACTGATTACCCCAGCTCCTGCTCTTCTGGATCCAGCGTGGTGTTCTTGCTGAGGCCACACGTCCCATGAGCTGCTCTGAGACAATGGATACTAGCGCACTGGCGATACCAATTCAGCCCTTTTGGCCAGGGTTATTTGGGAATGCAGCCGAAAGGTAATGGTGTTTTGGACTGAATTTTGGTCCCCTCCAAAATTCATACGCTGAAGCCGTAACCCCTAATGTGATTGTATTTGGAATGAGGAAATAATTAAGTTTAAATGAAGTCACAAGAGTGGGGCCCTGATCCAGTAGGATTAGCATCCTTTTAAGAAGAGTCAGCCAGAAAGCTCACATGCTCTCTTTCTCTTCGTGTGTGCACAAGGAAGAGGTCATAGGAGCACATGGTGAAAAGGTAGCCAGGAAGAGAGCCTTAATTAGAAACTAATCACTGGCTTCTTGATTGTGGACTTGTAGAAATGTTTCTGTTGTTAAATCTCCCAGTCTCTGGTGGTCTGTATGGCAGCTGAATAGACTAATATAACTGGTAAACTGTCTAGGGCTGAATACCTGCATGGGACCAATAGTCAACAATTTCTGTTTGGGAATGTCAAAAAGAACTTCCAAGTGTTGAGGTGGCTAGGGTTCCATATGAAGAGCAGTTGAACATGCTTGGGTTTGTCCTGAGAGGTGAATGCCATTCAGAAGAGATGGACAGTGAGTTTGTTGCCCTTGGCTGATCTAAAGGGAGTTGGATTCAGACCGCCAAATCTGGAGTGGCAGGTGAGTGCCACAGGCATCCAGTACAGTAGAGCATCCAATCTCAGAGAAGCTGACAGGAGCCCTGGTGAGAGTTCTCTCTTCTTGTGATGTGGAAAGATGCCCAGGGAGAAGTCCTGCACCTTGCTGGAATGAACCCTGCATCAGTGCACTAGCTGTGCTCAGTCTTGGCCGGGAGCTGCCTGCAGGAATGTAGGTGTTGGTACAGTGCAGTGCTAGATTCAGAGGGCAGCAGCAGGGACAGGCCGCGGCCCGAGATCTGAGTGGTGAATTTCCATGGCCGCCACACAACCTCTGCTGCGTTCCATCCTAAAGATTGTTGGGCACCTGGAAGATTTTAGCTGTATTCTCTTCCATCAAGAAACTTAGATTCTAGTTGGGGAAATAGGACCATTGGTGAGCAGGCCGGGAGGCTTTCCATTTAATTTAGGCAACCATTACTGAGCCCTTACTCTGTGCCAGCTTTGTGCTGGGGGCTGTAATAATGCTGGTGTGGCTGGATGAACCGTTGGGTTAGGATGGGGCCTGTGGGAATGGAGAAGAAAGGGGAAAGGGAAAGAAAGATTTTACATAGCATTTTATAAATCAAGGGATGTGTATCAGAGCTAGGCAAGAGCAAGGTTTTACTTTCAAAAGTAGAGATTAATAAGAAAAAGCTCAATTTAGGCAGACCTGACCTCTTTAGGGTTGCATGTTGGGCTTTCCTAAAGTAAAATGAGCTCTTCACTTGGTAAGTAGTAAGCCGTGCCCAGTAATGAATGTGTCCTGAGTGAGCCGCGCATTGCTAATCGTACCTGTTTGATGTCACTCCTTGCAGTTGTGTACTGTCAGCTATGGAAAAGTCAAGCTGGTCCTGAAGCACAACAGGTAAGGGATTCTGTGACAGGCTGGCCCGAGGCATTTTCACCCTGTGCACAGAAGGGGGCAAGGAGCTCACGTTTGTGGACTGTCTGCACTAGCACCTACTCCCCTGAGTAAGGGGATCAAAGGAATAAGCAAAGTGAAGTGACCCAGACTGGAGATTTCGTTCACTGGCCACTGTGTTCTCCCTGGCAGTGGAGCTGGGACTCAGACCCCTCCTTATTTGACTTAAAGCAGGGTTTTGCTCCTCATTTGCCATATCTTGGCCCGTAGCTCACAGCTCAGATTTGGCCAAGGCTGTGGGAGAGTAAGAGCAGAGAGGTGTACAAAGCCACTCTTTCCAGACCATCTGATCAAATGAGCAACAGAACCTTCTGGAAATGGTGTACCGGTCAGTAGTCCCCTCTTTCATCCCCTCTTGCAGGTACTTCGTTGAAAGTTCCCACCCTGATGTCATCCAGCATCTTCTCCAGGATCCAGTGATCCGGGAATGCCGCCTGCGGAACTCTGAGGGGGAGGCTACAGAGCTCATCACAGAGACCTTCACCAGCAAGTCTGCTGTAGGTGGCCTCCTGGGTCACCCTTGGGGGTGGGAGCATTTGGGATGTCAGCTCTCTCAGGGGCTGTTAGTTCAGCATTTGCAAACTTGGGACCCTACAGTCTTCTTACAGCTGCAGTTCCCCTTGCAACTTTGGCTCTCGTCTGGTAGCAGGAGGGCTCATCATATAGAGCTCCAGATCCTGCCTTTCTTTTACAGATTGCCAAGACTGCTGAAGGCAGTGGTGGGCCTTCTACTTCCCGGGTGACAGACCCACAGGGTAAATCTGACATCCCCACGGACCTGTTTGACTTTTATGAACAAATGGACAAGGATGAAGAAGAAGAAGAAGAGACCCAGACAGTGTCTTTTGAAGTCAAGCAGGTTAGTGCATGTATCCCTGCTTAAGCTGGCCCAGCGCTGCGTGGACTATGCAGTCTGTGGGAGAGGGGGTCCCTGTCTGTTCCTGTATGCTTTCTCAATTTTGGTGTCTGTGGGCTGTAGCATCATTCCTCCTAATGGAGTTAGTCCTGCATGTCTTATCCCTCAGGCTGGTGTGGCAGTCTTCACAAGTCCTAGGGAGATGTAGGAAATGGCCCCTTGGATTATGTACAGTTTATGAGCACGCTTTGGACTTAAGATTATAAAACCTCTTTCATGCTCACTCCCCAGGAAATGATTGAGGAACTCCAGAAACGTTGCATCCACCTGGAGTACCCTCTGTTGGCAGAATATGACTTCCGGAATGATTCTGTTAACCCTGATATCAACATTGACCTGAAACCCACAGCTGTCCTTAGACCTTATCAGGAGAAGAGCTTGCGGAAGATGTTTGGGAATGGACGTGCTCGTTCTGGGGTCATTGTTCTTCCTTGTGGTAAGTGACACCTGAGTGAAGAAGGTGGGTCAGGCTCCTTCATCTCGGTCTGACAGCTTCCCCTCACTCTCTTTTGTGTGCCTTTCTCTAAATTACACCTGTGAGCAGTGAAGGTCAGATGATTCCCTCATTCATGACTTAAACATTTGAGTGCCTGCTGTGTGCAGGGCTCTGAGCTCAGCACTGGGGATGCATTGGTAGATAGAACAACACTTCTGACCTCACGGAGCTTGTTTTGGTGGTAGAGAGAGGGTAAACAGATCAACTAAGTCAAGTGTCAGATCTTGGGCACTGGAGAAGAGGCAGGGTGAGTGGTTAGACAGTGAGGAGGGGAAGGTGCTATTTTACACACTGGGGCTAGGGTCTCGTTCTTTGCAATCAGTCTTGTGAGTTGTGTGTATATGGGGACTTCCTAGCACAGAAACTTTGCTTGCTTGTTCCTGGATGGCTTATTACAGTGTACACGTCCAAGAAAGGCCGTACAGCCCCCCTGGCACCTGTCTGATGTCATTTGTCCTAAGTCATGTCAGGTCCTGGCCAGCATTCTTGGCCACAGGTCACAACAGATTCACCTGGGGGCCCTACTTCAGACTTAAGGAGGTTAGAATCTCCATGGGAGAGGCCTGTGCCTTCAGGTTCTTTCTTTTTTTTTTAAATTACCCTGGGTGATTTTGATGCACATGCCTGGTAAAAGAGGAATTGCTGTTTAAAAGGAAGAGCTTGATTTTTATCTTGATCTTCAAATGATGGGTGATAGTAAACTTGGAAGCCCTGGAATTTCGCTTTTGTCTGTGCCAGTAGGGTCCGCCTTTCCCATAATCCTGAGCTCTCAGCCCAGCTGCTGTGTACCGAGCCCTCTGTGTGGTCCGTGTGCCCCAGCAGCACCACCTCCCCATGGCTTGGGCAAGTTGTCCTCAGCTTTCATTTTCTCACGTTCAAAATGGCAAACAATGGGAATGTCTCTCACCTCTGGTTTGTTTGGAGATTTCAACGTTTGAACAGAATTCATGGAAAATGGTACAGGAGGGCCTGGGGCTTGTCTCTTAATTCTCGTGTTTGGCATGAGCTGAGCATGTCTCCTTTTTATAAAGAAGAAAACAGAGGCTCTGGAGCAATAAGTGCATCACAACATCAGCTGTGAGGATTCACCCAGATTCGTGTGTTGATGAGTCATTCTGTCTGTGTCCATTGCAACCTGGCCTGGTTCTCATTGCCCTTTGGTTTTGCACAGGTGCTGGGAAGTCCCTGGTTGGCGTGACAGCTGCATGCACGGTGAGAAAGCGCTGTCTGGTGCTGGGCAACTCAGCTGTGTCTGTGGAGCAGTGGAAAGCCCAGTTCAAGATGTGGTCCGCCATCGACGACAGCCAGATCTGCCGCTTCACCTCCGACGCCAAGGACAAGCCCATAGGCTGCTCCATTGCCATTAGCACCTACTCCATGCTGGGCCACACCACCAAAAGGTCCTGGGAGGCTGAGCGAGTCATGGAGTGGCTCAAAACTCAGGAGTGGGGCCTCATGATCCTGGATGAAGTCCATACCATACCAGGTAAGCAGGCTGAGAGCTGAGTTGCCCTCTCATTTCAGAGACAGAAATTGATCTCCACTTGTTGGGTTGAGGGAAGGACTGCTGTGTAGTACATCCGTCTTGGTAGAAAGGCTTGCTGGGTAGAGGTTTAAAGTAAGTCATAAGCATGTGGGGGTGGGGATGAGGGTGGGTGGTGGATGGGTGTATCCCTTCACAGCTTCCTTAATCATGGGCCCAGCATAGTCTTTCAGAAGATGGTATTTCCCTTCTTCCTCCATCTTACTGTTGCAGCTCCGCTTACCCTTAACCCACTGGTTTGTGGTGCCATGAAAACTGGACCAGGAGCACTGAAGTCCTTGCCGTAGTGGTGTTTGTTTTATTTGAAGCCCAAAGTATTGATTCTTAATATATTATAGAAGCCCTACTTCTCCAAGTGTTGCAAGCAATCTTTTTTTTTTTTAAATAACAGCTATATTGATATAATATCCACTGATAAAATCCACCCATTGTAAGTGTACAATTCAAGATTTTTTTTTTTTTTTAAAGATTTTATTTATTTATTTGAGACAGAGAGAATGAGAGAGAGAGAGCACATGAGAGGGGGGAGGGTCAGAGGCAGAAGCAGGCTCCCTGCCGAGCAGGGAGCCCGATGCGGGACTCGATCCAGGGACTCCAGGATCATGACCTGAGCTGAAGGCAGTCGCTTAACCAACTGAGCCACCCAGGCGCCCAACAATTCAAGATTTTTAGTTAATTTGTGAACTTGTGCAGCTATCACCATGATCCAGTTTTAGAACCTCTCCCTCATACTCATTTATAGTCAGTGCTTTCACCCCCAGCCCCAGGGGCCATTGAAGTGCTTCCTGTCTCTGTAGATTTGCCTTTTCTGGAAACATCTTATTAACAGAATCATATAATACATATTTTCTTACATGTGCCTGCTTTTACTTCGCATGATGATTTATCAATATTATAACATGTATTGATAGGGTCTTCCCTTTTATTGCTGAGTAGTAGTCTAGGCAAATCTTTTTTGATAAAACAAATGAAGGGGGAGCCCTGATAAATTAAGAAGTGTAAATTAGAGATTTCTCTGAAAGAAATGAAATCAGAGGCATTTTCATATATTTGAAATATGGCCAAAATGGCCCTAGCATCCTTTTTTTTCGGTGCAATGAGAGCCCCTCCAGCACTCCTGGATGTCTGAATATACCTAGAGATGTTCACAGCAAGCCAGGTAGGGATCAGGGGTCTTTCAGGTTGAAGGAACAGGGTGTTAGTCCTGAGGTGGGAGAGTACTTGGCATGGTCCAGCACAGCAAGGTGCCCGTGTGGTGGGAGGGACATAGACGAGAACAGTCAAAGCCAAGGTTAGAGAGGGGCAGGCAGGATAGAGTGTGGGCCAAATGCCATAGGACCTCATAGGTCACTGTATGGCCTTTGGCTTGTATTGGGAGTGGGTGGGAAGCCATTTGAGGGATCTGAGCAGAGGGTGACATGATCTGATTTATGGCTATAAAAATACCACCCTCGCTGCTGTGCTGAGAGTAGACTGGAGGAGGCAAGGGTAGAAGCGGTGGGGTGGGTACCAGCAAGAGTAAGAATAAAGGTAATCTACTTCTGGATGTATTGTGAGGGTGAAGCTGACCGGCTGGATGTGGGATCTGAGAGAAAGAGAAATGAAGGACAACTGTAAATTTTTTGGCTTTAGTAATTGGAAGGAGTGGCCATTAATTGAGATGTTGAAAGCCATAGAGGGAAGGTTAGGCTTTAAACACATTCATTTGATTGCCAGTTGGACATTCTGGTAGTGGCAAAGATGTTAGTAAATGGGCAAAAGACAAGAATAGACATTTCACCGAAGAGAATGTACAGATGCCAAGAAGCATCGGAAGAGATGTTTCGCATCATTAGCCCTGAGGGAAATGCAACTTAATACCAGGAGATGAGATGCCGCTACACACCCATCACAGTGGCTACAATGGAAACTAGTGACAGTAATGAATACTGACAAGAGGACAGAGCAGCTAGCATGTGTCACCAGGGGAATTGCAAAATGTATGGTCACTGTGGAAAAGTTGGGCAGTTCCTTAGAAAATTGCCATATGACTCAGCAGGCGCACCCCTGGGCATTCATCCTAGAGAATGAAAACTCAGGTTTACACAAAAAGCTGCTCCTGAATGTTTATAGTGGCTCTAGTCAGAGTCTCCAAAACCTGGAAGCAACTGAAATGCCTGGCAGTGGGTGACCAGATAGACAAATGGGTCCATCCCTCCCCTGGAACACTACTCAGCCATGAAACGGAACACACGGTTGCTGTGTGCAACAGCTTAAATAAATCTCCAGAGGTACGTGTTGAGTGAAATCAACCCATCTCAGAAGGTTATATAGTGTATGGTGCCTTTAAAAAGACAAAAGGATAGTGATGGAGAGCAGATCAGTGGGTGCCAGGGGTTGAGGAGGGTGTGACAGTACAGGGAGAGCACAAGGGAGCGTTTGGGGTAATGCATTGGTCTGTATCCTGATTATGGGAGTGGTTACATGAATCTATGCATGTGTTAAAATTTATAGAACCAATCCCACCCACCCACCAGTTTTACTGTGTGCTAATTTAAAAACCAAAAGAAAAAAAAAATTAAGGAGTGGGGGGTATTGCATCTGATTGGATTAGAAATTGGTGACCTAGAGAATCACATCCTACAGATGAATTTGGAATTGCCATGTAGCGGTTTAGTTGGAGGCTGTGTTTGAAGCTTGGGAAAACTTGAGGCTTTCTGCTTGTGTGTGTATTTAGTTTATGTTGATGTTCCTCTTTAGCCTATGTCCCAGGTTTTAGAGGGTGGCTGCCAGGCTTGGGATTGGTTGCCTGGTGATGAGGATACAGAGGTGTACCCCCACAAAATTTTACGCTCGCCGTGGGTGTCTGTGTGTATCTTTCTTCCCTGGTTCACTGGGTCAGTTTGTCTCTGGCTGGATAGGAGAGTAAAACCAAACAGCCGTAAAGAATTCTGAGTTCTGTCTTGTGCACCCCTTGGCCTGGCCACACTCACTGGGCCAGAGAGCCAATGTTAAATAAGGGAATTCTAATAAATCACAGTAAGTTTCTTGATTGTTAAACATCTGCCATGTTGGATTAGGTAGAATGATAAATCTTTGAGATCTATCTCAAAATGTAAAGGTTGCTGTGGTGGTTTTATACATCTTCCAAGAAGGGTCCTATTGGGTCACTATATTAATAAGAAATTTGCACTGCAGGACTTGCATATATTAAGTGCTTACTGCATGCAGGACACTGTGCCAACTTCATTATTTTAGCAAGTATTCATTAAGAGCTCACAGGCATTGTGCTTGGACTAGAGATGAAGTGGGAGGGACAAAAATGTCACACAAATAAATGTCAAGTGACAACTGTGACATAACGTACAGTGAAATAAGTCATACCCACAAAGTGTGTATTGTGATTGTATTTCTAGAAAGTTTGGATGACTGAAATCGGATCTGGCTCCGTTGAGGGAGAGTGCTGGTATTGACAGGAGGGGTCAGAGGAGAGACTTCCAGGTGTTAAGAGCGCTTACCTTGACCTGGGTGATTCCACAGGCACATACCTGTGTAAAATTTGTCAAGCCATGCACTATATTGTATGTGAGTTCTTCCTCCTGACAGCCATAGGGCTGTTAGAGAATGTGGTAGTGGGACGTGACCCGTTTGCAGGGCAGATGCCATAGGAAGGACTTTCTGGCTGCAGAGTGTCCAGGCGGGGTCGAGACTCGTGCTTCCCTTGGGTTGATAGAATCTCTGGGCTATCTGGTGCAGCCTTCCCGGCTCCTGCATTAGGTTGGTGTCTCCATTGCCTTGGCTCGCATGCCCTTCTGACATGAGGAGCCTGGTCTGGGGTCCTTGGCTACCCTTTTCTGGAGTGGCACAGTCCTCGGACATAACCGTGCTTCTGGTCTTCGTCTTCCAAGTGTATGTGCAAACCACGTTAGGCTTGGAAGTCCTGGTACTTGGGCGTTAGACAGTATTCTGCTGTTTTGCTGTTCTTAGGTTTTTGGCTTATGTTCTGGTGCAATCTTTCCTCAGATTGTTAACGTCTGGTTCTGCAGTATTACTAGCTTTACCTTTAATTATATTAGAAGATAAGCATGACTCAAACATTTTAACCTTCTTTCAGAGTATTAGGATTTTTAAAAGATGAGCCCATGGAAACCCACAGTTGGGTGTTTTGAAATTAATGTCTCATGCCCACTTATGTGTTTATTGAATTTGATAAATCAGAAAGAATTGTAACATTCCAAAGAGAGAAAGACGGGGTTGCTGGTTGACCAGATGAATCTAATTGGAAAAACGCGGAGAAGGGAGTTTCCAGGGTCAGGGTGTGCCTGGGGTTTCATGTCTCCCTTTTGTTTCCTTGGTTTCTGGGAAGATGGTGGGAAGTCGGGCAGATCCAGCTCCTATCCTCTGATCCCCCAGTTACCCAGCCATATTACTGTAACCTGGATATAAGTTTCAGGGCCAGCAAATTCCTTGCATCGTTTAGAGCTCAATGGTATTTTAAGTGTTGTAGGTTATGTTTCAAATTGCTCCTGCTGGTAGCTTAGCTGTTGCAAGGAAGGATCCTGGGGTTCCCTAACTTGGAGCTTCCCTAAAGCCATTTCTCCCTTTTGTTCTCTTTGTCTTCCCTCTTTTGGACGGGTCTGAAAGTGGTGATTAAGCGTTCTTGCCTAGTCATTCTTGTCTAGAGCCAGATTCCTGTGATTCAGAAATGTGGGGGTTAGTCTCCATAGTGTCCCAGGCCAGTGTGAAGTCACAAGGCTGTGTGTAGTCCTTGAGCATTTAAAAAAATGACGGTGTGAATGCACTGATTGTCTCCCTAGCCAAGATGTTCCGACGGGTGCTCACCATCGTGCAGGCCCACTGCAAGCTGGGTTTGACTGCAACCCTCGTCCGGGAAGATGACAAAATCGTCGATTTAAATTTTCTGATTGGGCCCAAGCTCTACGAAGCCAACTGGATGGAGCTGCAGAACAACGGCTACATAGCCAAAGTCCAGTGTGCTGAGGTAGCCGGCTCCTTCCCAGCACTGTCTCCAAGGGAGGGACTCCCCCCGGGGTTCAGGGGAAAGGAATCAGGTCACCTCCCCATGGGCAGATACACAGGTCAGGACTTGCACAAAAGTGCCGCCACCTCATCCTGTTGCTTCAGGCCCCCCACTCCCACCCTGGTGTGGTGGGCAGTGTTCTTCCCACTCCGCAGACTTGGGAAGCAGAATCAATGTTCCAGGGGCACACAGTGAGTAAGTGCACAAGTTGGGATGCTAATCCAGGCTGGTTTGCCTCCAAAATCCATGCTCCTCTTCTCTGGGATGGAGCACCTCAGGCTGTTCCCACCCACCCTCACCCTTGAGGGATTCTTGGATTGTCCTGCATGGGCAACCATCCAGGCCACCCCAGTGTGCAAGCCTCTTGGATTTGATGCCCCCAGAAGGCACCTGTGGCCTAGATCATTTTATTTCTGAACACACTGGGAAACACATTGTCCCGATCTTATTCTGCAGTGAATACCTGCACGGGTAAATGCTTAAAGTACATGTTCAAAGGTAAGTCTCCTTACAAGGAACGACAACAAAAATCCTTTCTGGCACCTTGAAGTGACTGTCACTCACTGGCTGGGGTGAAAGGGCAGAAGGGGGCCTCTCGGGTAAAGGTGAGTGTGAAGAACCTGTGCAGGTGGACTTGCTCTGCTGAAAACTTCCCTACCCTGTGGTTGCATCTTCATAATCAGCACCCATTTTACAAAGCAGAGTGTTGCAGAAATCTGTGAGGCCCCCTATTCCTCTCCAGTTGCTTCTCTTCTCCCCCTGCCAGGGTATCCACTGTTGTGGAACTTGGGTTTGTCACTCTCTTGCTTCCCTTTATTATTTTATCTCCTGTGTATATTTCCCTCACCTATTTTGTTTAGCTTTGCCTTAAAAAAAAGTCTTCAGGGATGCCTGGGTGGCTCAGTCAGTTAAGCGTCTGCCTTTGGCTCACGTTGTGATTCTGGAGTCCTGGTGTGGAGCCCCACATTGGGCTCCCTACTCACTGGGGAGTCTGCTTCTCCCTCTCCCTCTACTCCTCCCCTGCTTGTGCTTGCTTACTCTCTCTCTCAAATAAATAAAATCTTAGAAAAAAAAAGTGTGTGTATATAAATAGAACCTGGTTATATATGTCTGTTAGTGCTTTTATTTCTTGCAGAATGTATTACTTTTTTGAAGATGCAAGTAGCTGTAGTTTATTTTTTTGAATTGCGCTGTAGTATTCCATTGTACAAATACACCACAATTTGATATATAATGGAATATTACACAGCAAGTAAAAATAAAATCTCTAATGTTGACAGACATTTAGGTTGCTAACTTGTCTTTTCAGTAGCAGTATTTACTGAGGTATAAGTTCATGTTTCTTAACATTCACCTGTTGTAAGTAAATACTGTGATTTAGAAATTCTGTGATCTTAGTAAGTGTAAAGAGTTCTGTAGCCATCCTCACACTCCAGTTTTAGAATTGAACTTCCCACCACCACAGAGTTCCCTCATGCCCATTTGCCATGAATCCTTGCTTCTGCTCCCAGCCCTAGTGAGCCACTGATTTATTTTGTTTCTGTAAATTTGGAGCTTAGTTTTTTTTTGCTGTTATGACAGTGTTGCTGCAAATATTTTTATACCTGTTTTTTGGGGCCTTGGGTAATCTTTTCTAAAGCAGTGTTGTTCACACTGTGGACTGTGATTCCGTAGTAGTTGGTGACATTACTTTATTGGGTCATGACCAGTATAGAATAGATTCTGCCAGAAAGCATAATACATTTTAAGGATATATGTTACTTAATAAAATCATTTGTACATATGAATGTTTAGTTTGTGATGTAAAATGATTCAACTGTGAAGTCCACTGCTCTGGCAGATACACCTAGGAATAACATTTCTGGGTCAAAGGCTATGTGGATGTTCACTTTACTAGGCATCCTAGAAAACTCTGTTTTGTATCAGTTGACCTTCTCATCAAGGGTGAGCGAGGTTTTTCCACATCTTCTCCAACACATAATAGTTTTATTTTTGTTTAATTTTTGCTGACGTGGTAAGTATGAAAATGGTATTCCTTTTTGATCTCAATATGTATTTTCCTGTTTACTAATGACGTTGAGTATTGTTTCATACGTTTATGGACCATTCATGTTCTGTGAAATGCATAATTTTAAAGATTTTACTTGAAAAAAGAATTGCTTTTTTGGTAAGGAACGAGAAATTCCAATGTGGACGTGGACAGGACGTGGCCTGAGAGGAACCAGAAAATACAGCGGCAGCAGCAGCAGCAAAACCTAGGAATTTGAGCTCAGCCCCGTTTCGGCATGTAACGATGGCAGCTAATTCCACGTTGGTTGCAGCGTGAGGAAAGGGCCTATGATGATCACACAGAAGTGGCACTGGTCAGAATTCTGAGCCTGTCAGGATAGGCTTTATGGCCTGTTCAGTACAGATTTCCAGAGGGTCCTTTTTGTGTGTTCACAGCCTTGAGACCTTTAAAACCCATGGCACTTCAGTGTATTTGTCTGAGCTTCCTTTACCGTGCTGGCAGCCCATGCACAGGGCCCAGCACAGAGGAGGCCCTCAGGAGTGTTACTGTCATTCTTACTCGAATGATCAAATTGTCTCCGATGCAACCAACGGGACCCCCTTCCAGCTGGCTTCTGTATCCGTTTGACATGTCCCCATCATTCTTTGAGCACTTCCTTGCTTTCTGGCACAGCAGGGTGTTTTAGACTCAGCTGGTCCTTTCCCTACCCACCCTGGTCCTGGAATCAGCCATTTCTCCAGGGTGCCCTTTTAGTAGAGAATGAAATTTACAAACCAGGATCTAGGTGCTAGGTGAGTTCATTACTCCTAGGATGTCCTTGCTAGACTGACTCAACAACAGAGGTAGGAAGTTTGTGTGTGTGGTTCTCCATACCAGTGCTGTGCGTAGACTTGTGTGTGAAGGGGTGGTCTAAACAGGAGGGATTACTTGGACCACTGGTTGAGAACCTGATTTCCCTTACCTGGAGCTTGTGTAAAGGTAATTCCCTGGATATCGATACATTTAAAAATCTGTGTGTTAAGAGAGAAATATGAGAGTGTCCTGGTTCACCATTAGGTACTTGATTTGGTTTATATATATATATATATATATATATTTTATTTATTTTTTATTTTTTTATTTTTTAGAAAGGGGCAGAGGGAGAGGGAGAGAGAATCTTTTTTTTTTTTTTTTTTTTTTTTTTTAAAGATTTCATTTATTTGACAGAGAGAGATACAGCGAGAGAGGGAACACAAGCAGCGGGAGTGGGAGAGGGAGAAGCAGGCTTCCCGCCAAGCAGGGAGCCCGATGCGGGGCTCGATCCCACGACCCTGGGATCATGACCTGAGCCGAAGGCAGATGCTTAACGACTGAGCCACCCAGGCGCCCCGGGAGAGAGAATCTTAAGCAGACTCCATGCCCAACTTGGAGCCTGACATGGGGTTCGATCGCACAACTTGAGCCGAAATCAAGAGTCCAACGCTTAACCGACTGAGCCACTCATGCACCCCTTTTTGATTTATTTTAAAGCTAGTACTGCTAAGTGAATGGTCTTCAAATGTTTCTAATCATGTGATGTTTCAACTTGCAAACTGACCTGTGGTTCTTACTGTATCACAGGTCTGGTGCCCAATGTCTCCTGAGTTTTACCGGGAGTATGTGGCAATTAAAACCAAGAAACGAATCTTGCTGTACACCATGAACCCCAACAAATTCAGAGCTTGCCAGTTTCTGATCAAATTTCATGAAAGGAGGAATGACAAGATTATTGTCTTTGCTGACAACGTGTTTGCCCTGAAGGAATATGCCATTAGGCTGAACAAGTAAGAACTGAAAAGTTGGAGTTGCCGCCAGGCGGCTTCTCTTCCCCAAGCCAGAATGCAGAAGGTGCTCGGTTTGTTTGTTTGGTTTTTTTTTTTCTCTTCCTCTAGAAGCTCTCAGGAGCTTCTTAGGATCTAAAGGTCTGGTTCTGTGGCCCCAGGGCCAGGAACCAGGTGAGACAGAGGAGCAGGTGGTCAGACTCAGAGGTCAGAGCAAATAGAAAAGGGTGCCCGGTCACCCTCAGCCCAGGGATCAGGGGCTAGAGTTGCGCTGCTTTGGTGGGGCACCATCTTTGAGCTGGGCTCCAAAGGTGGGAGCAAGTTGGCATCAGGAGTGGCAGGCCGAGTGAGCACTGTGGTGGAGCTGGGGTCAGACTGTATGGGCCGGGGGCCAGGAAGGCAAGGCTGACTGGGCCAGCATCCCAGCTACGGCCCTACAGCTAGAAAGAGCTTCTCAGGAATCACCAGCAACGTCCTCACTAGCCCACAGTCCCACCTGGATTCTGTGTTAGCACTACTTGTGTCGACATGATGCTTAGATCGAGGGATGTTGACTCAGGAAAAAGTATAAACAAAGAAAAAAGGAAAAAGTAAAGGAATCCTGAGGAGAGTGGTGACCAGAACGTTGGCGGAGGGTCTGTAGCCACTCATTTTTATGGGCCTTCTCCTGATACGCTTGCATGACGGAGGGCTTCCTGGAAGAGAGAAACCTTGCAGGAGCTCCCTTTCCCTCTAATGTGCTTTCAGGATAATTGAGGGGGTGATTCTGTGGCCTTCCTAATGCAGCTTCATTCTTCTTTAGACCCTATATCTATGGTCCTACATCCCAAGGAGAGAGGATGCAGATTCTCCAGAATTTCAAGCACAACCCCAAAATCAACACCATCTTCATATCCAAGGTCTGTGTGGCATGCAGGGTGGTGGTGAGGTACCAGCACCCCCCGGGTTAGGGGGACACTGGGGGATTTCTAGACAGTGAATTCATGTTTGTTGAAGGGACGTGACATGTCAGTTTTCATTCCAGTGTTTCTGTGTCTGGAGACAGAGAGTGCTTCCTGATGGGGTAGCAGAAGGAGCAGATGCAGGGTTTAATGTACTGTGGATGATCTATAAAGTCTCTGCTTGACTGAGATTTTTCCCGCTTCCTTTGAGGATATGGGAATTTTAAATTATATTTTATTTATCTAAGGGGGAAATTTTCATTACCTATTGTGGCCAAAGTAGGCATTCAGATGAGGTTCTCTTTGTGGAGTTAGAGATTGCTGTGGGCTTCAGGCAGCCTTTCTCTGGGCTCCTCGTGTGCCTTGATGGTGGGTGGTCAAGGTAAGCACGACGCAAACTCATGAAGGCCCAGCTGGGTGATGCTCTTAGAAGCTGTGGCCCAATAGTGTAGAGCGGTCATTCAGATTAGAACAGACCCAAAGCTCAAAATAAATGAGATTTACTAATAAAGTGATCATGGCTGGGTCAGTAAGTGCCAAACTTTGATGTGTGCTTGGGAACCTCGGTGGTTGGAACCCTCAAGCAGAGGCCGTTACCCAGAGCCAGATCCAGCCCAGTGTGGACAGTGGCCGTTACCAGGTCATGTGTCCCGCACGTGCCGGTGGTTTCAGTGGCCTTTCTTTCTGTCCCAAATAAAAAACCTTCCCAGACTCAAAGCTGTTTCATTTCTGTAGGTGGGCGACACATCGTTTGATCTGCCAGAAGCAAATGTTCTCATTCAGATCTCATCTCATGGTGGCTCCCGGCGGCAGGAGGCCCAGAGGCTGGGGCGAGTGCTCCGAGCCAAAAAAGGTAAAGGTGGTCTTACCCCTTCTGCTACAGGAAGTCTCTCCTTTTGAACCACGTTGGTTGGGAAGAGGGTAGGTCTAAGCTGCCTGTGTGTTCACGGTGGCGAGGTCGCGCCCCTGGGCCTAGTAGACTGCAGGGAGGGATCCCAGAGCAAGGACCAAGATCTGCCTGGTTCGTATTATCTCCATGCTGCCGGAGTCCAGCTCCAGCCGGGGTGGGTCTCTCGTAGCAAAGGACGGCGTCAGCGAATGAGGAGACACAGACACAGGATCAGGTTGCAAGCATCTCCTCCTGAGGGCCTTGGAGGAACTTTATTTATATGTTAGGATATTTTTGTTTTTCCATACTTTCGTAACATGTGATTATGTTTTTTTTACAGTTTATCGAGATAATCTTAGATCATTTTCTGGATTACAGACATAGCCTTCTTTCATTTTTCCTTTGTAATGATTAACATGACCTTTATTGATTTCTGCTTACTGACTTTCACTAAAACTAAAAAACAGTACGCAAAGAGAAAGGTGCTAGACAGAGCGTGACCGTCTTGTTATTTTGTTCTATAGAAACTAATTCTTTGTGGAATTAGTTTCATTATGATTGCTTAGATAGGTGTAACTAAGATGAGTAGTCACTTTATCATGAAACCCTAGAAATATTCCCACAATTATAAAGATTGCCATAAACAAAATGAAGGAGAATAGCAGGAGCCAGCTGTGGAGTCTCCTGTTTTCAGGATCGTCCCCCATACTTGGACCTTGTCAAACAGCATGAGTAGCTTGGCTCGCGCCATCTCCCCCTTTTTTATTTTTGGCCTTCAGTTACAAAGTCTTCAATTCCAAATGAATTTGTTTTATTCCTCTACTTAGTAATTTGATGAAGACTGGAAAGAGAAACAAAAGGGAGATAATAATTAGTGCTGATATACCTAGATTGATGAGGAATGGAAACCAGGCAGTAGTGGAGGTGTATTTCTGCAAAGTGGCAAGAAAGGAATCTGCAACTTCTGAGGCTGTGGCTGAGGACACATGTGCCAAACTAATGTCTTTAATTTTTTCTTGCAAGGAGTTTAAGTCCAAGGATATATTATCATTGCTCCATATTCCCAGTAGGTGATTTTTGACATTGTCCCAAGGGACAGATGAGGAATCATAATGGTGGGGAGTAACACAGATCCATTTATATTGTGCATGGCATCTAGTGGTTAACCGAGTTTTGAGATTTTGAATTTGATTTCCTACATATAATATAGTTTCTTCTAGAACCTTTAATCGTGCCTCAAACTTCTTGACTATTTGTTCCTGCAAATAAAGTGCAGTTGAAATATTCTGGATTAATCTATCCACATGATGTGCAGTATGTATTTCCTGTACTAAAGCAGTTGTAGATATAGCAAAAGAGCTTATGATTCCTATAAGAGCAGTAATACCTAATTTAAGTGCTGCAATAAATCTCTTAGGGTGGCGTAAGGCTTTATCTACAAGTTGAATCGTATACATGCCAGGATCATCATACCAATGTTCTTCTAATTTTACAGGTAACACTACATAAGGAGGTTGATGAACAACTATAAAGACAGTTGGTCCAACAGTTGGATCAATGCAATTAGTTAATGTACATTTTGAACAGGATACATAATAGGTATGATTAGTCTTGTTTACCTGTAATTGGCCATGACCTTGCACCAAGAGAGCATGAGGGCGACCCACACATGCCATGACCCCCTCCATATGGTCAGGGCGTCTAGGCCTTTTTAGAAAAATCATTCCTGTAGCAGCTAATAATCTATATAATTCAGGATATATTTGAGTACTATTCCAAGTTTTAGCAACAAATATAGGACTAACCCATCCTAATGAGAACCATCTGTTTATTTTTTCTGGCTTTTTTATTAGATTATCATTCCAATAATACTTTGTCGATTATTTAAATGTCTTCTATAGTCATGGTCTGGGCTAGATACGGAGTAGTCATAAATGGACATCTGAGAGTTGCGAGGTGAAAATCGCAGTCCTTTAGATTGGAACATACATTCATGCCATAAGGGAAACCCTTTAAATTTATCAATATTGCCCTAAGCATTATTTAGGTCTCCTAGCAAGGCCTCACACAGAGGAATGGATGCAGGAGGTTTATCATGGACCACAGTATCTTGATAATTATAACTTCCTATATGCTGTAGATTAAGTACCCAAAGATCCCTAGTTTTTGGATTCCTATTGGGAGAATCAGTTAATAAACTTCTATAATTGAGGGGAAGGCAGCCATCAGGTAAATTTGTTGTATTGGTACTAAAGCATATAGGAGGATCATCAAGTCTCCCGTGGAAAGAGAAATTTGCATCTGTTTTATGCAAGATAAATGAATTTGATTCTCCCCCCAAAAGATCAGAATTATTAGTAAACACACGAATAGAAGAGGATCCCCAAGGTGTAGGATGCAAGATTGGTGGATCCGGAATATATGCCCAATATTGAGAAGCAGAAACACATATCACCTGGCATGAGATGATCGCAAGCATAGCCACAAACATATTCTCAGGGGTTACGTTAACACCTTGTCCTTCCACGAGACGCTGTGCTTGATTGGAGAGTTGTTTCAGTTGTCCCCAGGTTGGTGGGTTGCTGCGCAGTGTGGTTGGAGTAGGTGGCGCAGTAGGACTGGTTTGCGATTCTTCAAGGCGCAGCCGGCGTAAAGGTGGAATCAGAGGGTCAGCGGCTTCTGGAGATCGGGCAGAACTTTCTCTAAGTGGGATATTTATAGGGGGTAAAGGTCTACGTATCGGACGTGGGAGTGGAGGGTGTCTGCGAGACATGATACCGGATTAGTCTATCAGGAATCCAGATAGGTGAGTCAGCGTCCTGTGGAAAGACACAAGCATAGCCTTGCCCACACATTAATAATATATCGGGGCCTTTCCAAGATTCTGTTAAGAGATCTTTCCATATAACCAGTGGTTTGGGTTTAATGTCATCAGTTTCCCAATGTTTCATAATGGGAGAAATCTCATGAGAGTCACAATTTAGATAATTGATGACGAATAGTGCATGAATTAGAATATGATGCACAGAACTATATTTATATTCTGAACTCTGTAGTTTGGAGATTTGGGTTTTTAAGGTCTGGTGTGCTCTTTCTACTATAGCTTGTCCCTGCGGGTTATAGGGAATCCCCGTATTATGGGAGATTTTAAACGAATCACAGAATTTTTTGAATGCAGATGAAGTATATGCAGGTGCATTATCTGTCTTAATAGCTTTGGGCATTCCTGCATAGGCGAAACAAAACATCAAATTGTTGAGACACATCTTTAAAAGCTTCTCCGGTGCGAGCTGTCGCCATAATTAAATGAGAGAAAGTGTCCACAGAAACATGTACATAGCTCAGTTCACCAAAGCTGGGAGGGAACAGGTGTTACATCCATCTGCCAGAGATCATTGGGTCTAAGGCCTCGGGGATTAACCCCCATAGGCAAAGAGGGCTGAGTGGTTGGACATATAGAGCATTTCCGAACTCTCTCTGGCCGCTTCTCTTGTTATGTGAAATTGCCTTCTTAAAGAGGCTGCATTTTGATGATGGAGGGCATGGTTGGCAGTTGCTTCTTTAATTGTAAAGATTGCCTCTCTGGTAAGTAAATCAGCTATATTATTTCCTTCTGCTAGGGGTCCTGGCAATTTGGAGTGACCTCGGATATGGCCCACATACACCTTGTGCATTCTCTTTCTGATCAGATCTTGGAGTTCCTATAAGCGAGGAGCAATAGTAGTTTTGTTTTGAGCTATAATAGCGGTTTCTATAACGGGGAACAGCCTGGCCACATATTGAGAATCAGTGAAAAGATTAAATGGTTGGTCATGTAAAGTCTTAAAGACTTCTGTCACCGCAAAGAGTTCAGTTCTTTGGGCTGAAGTTTCGGTAGTTTGTACAGCTGTTTTATGGTTATTAATGACATAAGCTGCTCTTCTGGTTGAGGAGTCGTCAGTAAAGACGAGAGCAGCTGGGTGAGCTAAGGGTGAGGAGTTGACAATTTTTGGAAAGATAATTGATTGTTCTTTTAAGAATTGAAGTAGAGGGTTGGAAGGCAAATGATATTTAATAGTCCCATTAAAAGATTGGATAGCAATTTGCCAGTCATCATCCAGTTGGAATAAATAATCAAGTTGCTCCCTTTTATAAGGCAGGGTTAATGATTGAAATTCTCTTCCAAATAGCTCAACACTCCTAGTTCTTCCTTTAATGATTAATAGGGCAACTGAGGTGGTATAGGCACAGACGACCTTCTTGGTGGTTCCGGGGAGGTGAATCCATTCCAAGGGTCCCTCCTGCCATAATACTCCAGTCGGAGTGTGAGTAGTGGGAAGGACCTGGTAAGGTTCTTTTGGACTTTGTTTGATATTACTTAAGCCTGTAGTTTTTACCTCTCCAGCAGGTAGGTGTCTCCAGGCATTAACAGCTAGGCTGGAGCTTTGGCTGAGAGCCTCCTTAGATAAATTTAGTTGATCACGGGCTTGTGACCATTCCTCTAGGCCCAGAAGCATATTAAATGTTACGGAGCGGCGGCCTGACTTTCTATTAATAGCAATTTGTTGTTTTGCCAACTCCTCATATTCAGCCTTCCAAAGTAAATATACCCCCGCAGGGAGACAAGATTTGGCAGTTTGATGCCAATCATAAGGAGTCATCCACTGGCTAGCAATTGCCTCCACCAACTGCATCGTATAAGGAGATGTAGAACCATAGTCAGAAACTGCCTTTTTTAGTTCCTTTAAGACCTTATAAGGGAGTGGTTCCCCCTGAGGTTTGTCCCATTCATCATCAAAAGTCACTGGAAGGGGTGCCTGGGTGGCTCAGTTGGTTGGGCGACTGCTTTCGGCTCAGGTCATGATCCTGGAGTCCTGGGATCGAGTCCCGCATTGGGCTCCCTGCTCAGCGGGGAGCCTGCTTTTCCCTCTGACCCTCACCCCTCTCATGTGCTCTCTCTCTCTCATTCTCTCTGTCTCAGATAAATAAATAAAATCTTAAAAAAAAAAAGTCACTGGAAAACATTTAAAGGTTAAATCCCCATCTCGCAAGGCCTCCTGTATTGCTCCCTTAAAGCCAATATTCTTAATAGGTGGCAAGGGTTTTTTACGAACTAAGACCTTGTTCTGTGGAACTTTTAACTGTCTATGTAGGTTAATCACAGAGCCGCATTCAGGGGCTGTGGCATTTGCAAAAAGTTCCCAGTCTTGTTCATGATATTTAGCAGCCTCCTCCTCAAGGGCTACCTAATCTTTGGAGGACAATTGATCGTCTCTCTTCAACTCTTTTATTATCTTTGTCCTCATCTTCTGATTTCATTTCATTTATTACCAGTACTTGAGAGGCTGATTTTTGTAATAGAGGTGTCTCTTCAGTGGGGGCAGCATTATGTGTCTCCCGTAATTTTTTGTGTAAAGCCTGTGAGCTAGGCATAGGATCTAACATATCTCTTAACAATGTCCATAAAGAGAATGCCTCCACGGGTACATTTTCAGGACCATGGTTAGAATAGTATAACTGCATTTCCTCCCCTATCTTGTTCCATGTTCTAATACCGAGACTACCATCTTTCGGAAACCAAGGGCAACAGGTCTCTACAAAGGTCAAAAATCTAGCCAGTTGAGCATGAGTAACCTTAACACCTCTTTTTTCAATCATATGCTTAATAATATCAATAAAGAGTCGTCGTTCCTTTGACTTATTATGGCCCATAGCTTCTCTAAGTTCTGTGTTTCTGCTCACTCTTACTCTGTATTCCTTCACAGAGAGGTCTGCAGTACCCACAAGCAGAGTCCTATCCGTCCCTGTAGGAAGGCTTACCTAGTCGAGCCCCACATTGTGGCGCCACCTGCCGGAGTCCAGCTCCAGCCGGGGTGGGTCTCTCGTAGCAAAGGACGGTGTCGGGGAATGAGGAGACACAGACACAGGATCAGGTTGCAAGCATCTCCTCCTGGCAGCCTCAGAGGAACTTTATTTATATGTTAGGATATTTTTGTTTTTCCATGCTTTCGTAACATGTGATTATGTTTTTTTTTACAGTTTATCGATATAATCTTAGATCATTCTCTGGATTACAGACACCGCCTTCTTTCATTTTTCCTTTGCAATGATTAACATGACCTTTATTGATTTCCGCTTATTGACTTTCGCTAAAACTAAAAAACAGTACGCAAAGAGAAAGATATTAGACAGAGCGTGACCGTCTTGTTATTTTGTTCTATAGAAACTAATTCTTTGTGGAATTAGTTTCATTATGATTGCTTAGATAGGCATAATTAAGATGAGTAGTCACTTTATCATGAAACCCCAGAAATATTCCCACAATTATAAAGATTGCCATAAACAAAATGAAAGAGAATAGCAGGAGCCAGCCCAGAAATATTCCCACAATTATAAAGATTGCCATAAACAAAATGAAAGAGAATAGCAGGAGTCAGCTGTGGAGTCTCCTGTTTTCAGGATCGTCCCCCATACTTGGACCTTGTCAAACAGCATGAGTAGCTTGGCTCGCGCCACCATGCCTTAGGGTTACTGTGTGCATATTTTCCCTGGCAGCTGCCTGGTTCACATGGATATCCGCTCAGCTGAGTGCTTGCAATGGTAGATTGTAAGAGGAGCCAGGAGCGTGGTGTGCGTGGTGTAGACGTACCGGGAGAAAGCAGAGCTGGGCCACCAGTGATGTCTAGGACCTGGAGCCTGGATCTTGAGTCTGGAGTAAGGGGAGGGCTTGGTAGGAGCAGCTTGGGCAGCCATAGCTGGCTGCCTCACACAGCACCTGGGAAGAGCCCCGTCCTGGGTGGCAGCTTGCAGCCGGGCTGTCACATGCTCAGCGCATGAGGATGCAGGATGTCGGAGTCTGTGCCTCATAACTGTGGTCGAAGGGCCCACACCCCAACAGTGGGTGTGACAGGCACTGGCGCTGCTGCTTAGAGATGGCCACGGCCCCCCTCCTGGGACCAGGGAGGCCCTAAGACAGGGGCACAGGCCTTGTCCTCGGGGTGTTCGCTTTCCTTTCTTAGGAGACAGCCGGACTGGTAGGGTGTCCGGAAACAGGGTTAGTGGGCGTAGGTTGGAGTCATACCGTGTTAGAATATGTGTAAGAGGGAGCTAACTGTATTTAATATGGAGGCAGGGCATATTAGTAGAAAGAGCATGCACATGGGCACCAGGCCAACCTTGGGACCTTGGGCAGGTAGTTTGCCCCTCTGAGCCTTGCTTTTCCATCCAGAGTGGGAGTACATCCTGCCTTGCAGGGCTGTTGTGAGGAGTAAGCCTTATGTAACAGAATATAGGAGGCTGCTGGATAAATGGCGGCTTTTATAAGCTGACAGGAATAGAATCTGCCTAGCATATGTGAACGTAATTCGTAACTTATGCCTTACTCACCACCTCCCAAAAAAGAAACAAATCTAACTTGAAAACCACTTTGAATTTGAGTAGAATTCTGTTTTTAAAAAAATACTATTTGATATAAGGTATTTGGCTGCTTTCTTTGCATCTCTGAGCTCTTGTAAGACTAAGAAATAGTTGAACTCAGAGGCAGTACACAGATATGGAACCTGCTGACAATTGAACTGTGAAGCAAAAATCTGCAGATTGTCCAGAAGGATCAGCTTTTATAGGCTGCAGTATCTCTGGCCCAGTTTCTGTGATAATTCTGTCCTAGGTTTTCTCTCTGAGCCTTTTTTTTTTTTTTTTGGTAACTTTATTGAGATAGAATTCATATACCATATAGTTGGTCCATTGGAAGGGTACAGTTCAGTGGTTTTCCTTTTTCTTTTTTTTTTTTAGAGCACACATGTGTGCACAGTGGGGTGGGGAGGGGCAGAGGGAGAGGGAGAGAGAGAATCTTAAGCAGGTTCCACACCCAGTACAGAGCCCAACTTGGGGCTCGATCTCATCACCCCCAGATCATGACCTGAGCCAAATTGAACCCTTAACCGACTGAGCCACCCAGGTGCCCACAGTGGTTTATAATATAATTGCAAAGTGTGTCACGTCACCATCACCATAGGCTGTGTTTAGAATATTCTCATCACTCCAGAAAAGAAACCCTTTCCCACTGGCAGTCACTCCTTTCTCCTTGCCTCCTAGCCCTAACAAGGGACTCTTATTTTTACCTTGATAAACATGCCCATTCTTGACATTGCATACATACAGAATCATGCAGTCTGGGCCCTCTGCAGCTGCCTTCTTTGACTAGCGTGTTTTCCAAAGGGTCCTCCATAGTAGCATGTAGTAGTACTTCCTTCTTTTTTTTTTTTTTTTAAGGTTTTATTTATTTATTTGAGAGAGAGAGAGATAGAGAGCACAAGCGGGGAGGAGAGGGAGAAGCAGACTTCCCGTGGAGCAGGGAGCCCGATGTGGGGCTTGATCCCAGGACCCTGGGATCATGACCTGAGCTGAAGGCAGACGGTTAACCGGCTGAGCCACCCAGGCGCCCCGGTACTTCCTTCTTTTTATTGCCGAATGATCCTCCATTGAGCAGACATGCCACATCTTGTTTATTTGTTCTTCTGTTGATGGGCATTTGCGTCGTTTCCACTTTTTGGTTATTTGGAATACTGCTGCTATGAAATTCATGTGCAAATTTTGTGTGGACATATGCTTTCAATTCTGTTGGGTATATATCTAGGGGGAAGGAGATTGTTGGGTCAGCTATGGTAACTCTCTTTTTAACATTTTAATTAGCTGCCAGACTATCTTCCAAAATGGCCGCACCATTTTACACTGTTACCAGCAGTGTATGAGGAATCCAGTTTCTCTACATCCTTGATAATTACTGTAATTATCTTTTTTGACTCTGGCCATCCTAGGGAGTGCCAGGTGGTACCTCACTGTGATTTTGGTTTGCATTTCCCTGATGACTAATGATGTCGAGTGCTTTTCATGGGATGTTGGCCATTTGTAGATTTTCTTTGGAGAAATGTCTGTTCAGATTCTTTGCCCTTTTAATAATTGGGTCATTTGTCTTTTCATTATTGATTTGTAATAGTTATTTATATAGTTCAGATACAAATCCCTTATCAGATACATGCTTTGTAAATATCTTTTCCCATTCTGTGGGTTGTCTTTTTACTTTCGTGGGGGGGTGTCCTTTAAAGCACAAACGTTTTGGGCGCCTGGGTGGCTCAGTCATTAGGCGTCTGCCTTGGGCTCGGGTCGTGATCCCAGGGTCCTGGGATCGAGCCCCGCATCGGGCTCCCTGCTCGGCCAGGAAGCCTGCTTTTCCCTCTCCCACTCCCCCTGCTTGTGTTCCCCCTTGTGTTTCTCGCTGTCAAATAAATAAATAAATCTTTAAAAAAAAAAAAAAAGCACAAATGTTTCTAATTTTGATGAAGTGCCCAAGCAAAGTCAGGGCCATTAGCCCCCTGACTGCAAAGCTGGCCCTTGAATAGCACGGGTTTGAACTGTGAGGGATTTTTTTGATAACTGTAGTTCAATACTGTAGGTGTATTTTCTCTTCTTTACAATTTTCTTAATAATGTTTTCTCTATCTTACTTTATGTTAAAAATACTATGTAATACATATACAGAGTAGGTGTTAGTCAGCTGTTCGTGTTATTGGTAAGCCTTCCAGTCCGCAGGAGGCTATGAGGAGTTAAGTGTTGGGGGAGTCAGAAGTTACATGTGGATTTTCAGCTGTGCGGGGGGTTGGTACCCCTAACTGTCGTGTTGTTCAGGGGTCAGCTATACTTACTTTTGAGCCCTGGACCCTCGGTTCCTGGCACTGTAACAGCTAATGTTGTCCTTTCTCCTTTCCTCTCTTAAGGGATGGTTGCCGAGGAGTACAATGCCTTCTTCTACTCGTTGGTGTCCCAGGACACACAGGAAATGGCTTACTCGACCAAGCGGCAGAGGTTTTTGGTAGATCAGGGTTATAGCTTTAAGGTATGTATTCATTGATCTCCGGTCAGAATAGAACCAGGGGTGTTTTGGTACCCACGCCTCTAAGAGAAGTAGGAACTGCTGTGGGCCCCAGTGTGGGACAGAACTCAGACAGGCACAGAACATTAGGGCATTGGAAGCCCTGCCTCAGATTCCCTTCCTCTCGGCATGAGTTGCCGGGGACTTTGAGGGAAAATATTGTGCAGCACCGAGCTTCCCACAGTGACTGGTCAAAGAACAGGGCCTCTGAAGCGAGGGGCTTGGGTTCTGTACTTGTTAACATTTTATAGTTGTCTTGCCAAAAGAGTGTTAGTTGTTAGTGGGAAAATGTGCTAGCCTTGCAGGACTTGAGATGCCCCGGAGCTGTGGCCATCCCTATGCTACTCTGAGCCCCTTGGGTTACTTTCCTGCACCAGCAATGGCTGTCAGCGCAAGCCTTAGGACTTCCCATTGCCCACAGACCTGATTTGTAATGTGAGCGAGGAAGGCTGTGATGGGGCACCCCCCCCAGGGTGAGCCCTTCCTTTAGTCAGCTGTGAGCCCGGGCCTCAGTGGGCCTCGCGCCAGAGCTGTCCGCATGTGACGGATGGGCAGTCGGACGGGCAGTCGGACAGCTCTGGGGCTGCCGAAGCTGTGGCTGGCCTCCGTCGGCTGGGGCGTTTGCTCTCTTTCCTGTTCAGGTCAGGCTTTCGTGCCTCTAAAGATTTTCATTTGTGGGAGTGGATGGGGGTGCTGGAAGCAGAGAACTAAAAGGGTGCCCCTAGAACATGCAGGTTCCCAGGTTCTTGGTTTACAAAAGACTACAGGCTGCCTTTTCAGGTGCTTTTGATCGTGTCTTGTTACAGGTTGGTGAATTCCCTTTATTAGCCACAGACAAGAGGTCAGGGCTGTCCAGCCCCTCCTTCCTTAGCCAGAAGCAGTGACAGTTTCCGACTTGTCATGCTGAGCTGGAGGACAGGATACTTGACCGCATTTTGAAGGATTTGCATGATGGCCTGTTTATGTATCTGTAAAAAGTATGCGGTGATGGCAGCATTCATACCTCCTGATCCGTGGGAGAGTCAAGGACGAGACAAGCACCAAATGAGGGAGTGTTCTGGGTTCTTTGAAAGGAGAGCCGGGCAGAAAGGCACATGGGCGTGTGATGGTCTGTGTTGGGTGGAGCAGTCTTTGCCTTCCTGGCCTTGCCTTCAGCACTGTGCACTGAGAGCAGCCAGGTCAGAGTTCCCAGAATCCTGACGCCGGAGTTCCCAGAGGGGTGGTCGGGCCAGGGCAGAAATGCCCGGTATCTGTGCTCCGGGTCTGCGGCCACTTGAAGGGCTCAGCCACGTCCCTACTTCTGGGACTTTTCTTTCAATTAAAATGATGAGAAGAATTAAAGGGGGGCAAAAAGATTTCTCTACACCATCAGCCCAGGCTTTCCTGAGGGATAGGTAGGCTGTGTAGTAAGTTACCCCCAAAGAAAGGAAAACCAAACCTCTGTCTTAGAAAAAATCTTGTAAATCCATGTGGACAGGCTCTCATTTCTAAGTGCTCCCTCCCGCTGGAAGCCCTGGCCACCGAGCCCGGGAGGCTGAAGACCGTGCCCTCGGGCAGCAGGCCGTGCCTGTCTTTGGTCCCTTCCTTTATCTGGCGCAGGCTGGAAAACTGCCAGAAGGGACATTTTAGAGCCACCGAGGCCCCCAGTGATCTTCTGTAAGCGATCCTGTATCTGCTGTTGGGGGAGTGGCTTTCTCTGGAATCCCCTTCGCCTCTCGTGCCCTGCAGTCACTAGTTGAGCCCCACATTGCAGGGGGCTCCCAAGCTGGTCTCTGAAATGCCGGGGAGGAGCTCTCCGTGGTTGGGCGCCTGCTCAGCTGGGCCTGGGGGAGGGCAAACAGAAGGGGACATGGGGCCTGCGGCTTTGGGCTCTGCAGGTGATCACAAAGCTTGCTGGCCTGGAGGACGAAGAGCTGGCATTTTCCACGAGGGAAGAGCAGCAGCAGCTCTTACAGAAAGTCCTGGCGGCCACCGACCTGGATGCTGAGGAGGAGGTGGTGGCAGGGGAGTTTGCCTCCAGATCCAGCCAGGTGAGTGGGTGGGCAAGGCTGCAGCTGTCCGTCCTCCCGAAGGACAGAAGTCTTGTGTGTGCGCGTACTTAGTTGTGTGTGTCTGTGTGACGTCTTAGACGTGTGACATCTGTGACGACTTGGAAAGCCCAGAGGGCCACAGAGGAGAGAGTAACAGAAACAGCCCCTGTTAGCCCTTTGGTGCGCCTCCTTCCTTCCTCACATATTGTTCCACATGGCCAAGTCCACGGCCGCTGTAGCTGGCCTCCTGCGCAGTTCACCTCACGGTCTGGTTCGGGTTTTGGTAGCGCCTTGCCGGTGGGGCCCGGGATGGCACAGGCGGCCCCAGGCTTACAGCGGGGGGCTGCGGGATGGGCTCTTGTGCCTGGGCCCACCGTCCGGGGCCTCGGGCAGGTCACTTCAGCTCTGGCCCCCTCTTCAGTAATAGAGCTGGGCCTTCCAGCCTGTAAGGTGGGTCTGAGGATCAGCTCACATGGTAGTTTGACTATATTATCTTGAAACATTTAGAATTCTCTGAAAATAGTGAACTTTCCATTTATTCTGCAGATACTGTATATTCACTACCATGTGCTAGGCCAATATAATATGGTATAATTAATGAAAGTACCATTATGGGGAGTCCTTACCAGCCCTTCCAGAGAAAACTACAGTTTTGTCAGGTACTTAAAACAAATTAAATTGATATTAGAGCCAAAAGGTGAGCAACGGTTGGGACAAGGAAAGAAAAGCAGCGTCCCCTGGGGAGGTGCTGTTCTCCCTCCAGCCTGAAGCCATTCTGCCCCCAAATGTGGGGGCTGGATCCCCCTCTGGGCACTCTCCATGGATGGATGCTTCAGGGAAATTTCTTGCCTCTGTGTGCTAAGGCCATTCCCACCAACCAGTGAGCCACCTAAGGTCAGGCTGTTGATGGCATTGCTCAGTGCCTTTCTGCATACTTGGCTTATAATCTGGTGCAAGTAGTGTGCCAGACTCTGGGTCAGACCCTTGCCTGTGCGATTTCTGTTCACACCACTTATGTCAAGACAGATGAGGCTATCCCCATTTTATAGATGAGTTCATTGAGGCTCAGACATTCAGTATTGTCCAAAGTCACCCGGTGAGAGGTAGAGCCAAGATTCAAGCCCAGGGCGTTCTGGATTTCCACTTGATTCAGAGCCTAATGGTGAAGTCTCGAGGTGTTGGGGGATGCTGCCCTTGCTGTTGAAAAATTCTGTTTATAAATTGTCATTAAGAGAGGCAGAGTAGCTTTATGGCTAAGAATAGGGAATCTGAAAAAAAAAAAAAAAAAAAGAATAGGGAATCTGAAGCCAGCTGCCTGGGTTCAAGTCCCATCTCTTTAAGAGCTGTGTGATCTTGGACAAGTTACTTAATCTCTCTGTGCCTCAGTTTCCTCATCTGTAGGATGGGAATTGTAATAATTGTGAGGATTGGATGAGTTATCACATGTAAATACATGTAAACTGCTTCAGACAATGCCTGAGACACAGTAAGTAGTCAATAAATGTTCTTAAATTAGTATTTACTAAACTTAAAAACTTTATAAAACTTATTACGATAATAAATGTTTTAAAAGGAGTGTTTTTTCCCTTGGAAACTAACCATGGGCTGGGTGCTGCTGCAGGTATCTCGGCGCTTTGGAACCATGAGCTCCATGTCTGGGGCTGACGACACTGTGTACATGGAGTACCACTCGGCTCGGAGCAAGGCTTCCACGAAGCATGTGCACCCGCTTTTCAAGCGCTTCAGGAAATGACGTCTGTAGGGTCATGTGGGTGAAAGCTGGGTGCTCAGCACCAACATTGGATAGAGACTTTCCACATCCTCATTCTTTCCTCTAGCATTGGCCAAACTGTTCTAGATGCAATGTTTGTTAACTGTGTTGAAGAAAATGCATCGAGAGCTCAGTTCTGTCTTCATGGGTCGTCCAGGGCTTAAAAAAAGTTGGGAGACTATTTTTGGGTTTTTTTTTTTCAGATCCCTTTTCAGTCATGGGCAGTGGTCATTCCTGTATATAAATATTTGTAATATTTAAGATGTATTTATCTTAATGTTCTGAATAAACAGAAATGGAGCATTTGACCACTCTTGATTACAGGTGTTCTTCTGCCTTGTCACAGGCATGGGCTACGTCTAGGTGACAAACCTCCATCGAAGCCCCTTTTGTAGCGGGCACCGAGGAGTAAGATGGGGCCCATCCCTGAGGAGCTCTACTGGGGAGACACACCCCAAGATAAAGAAGACTTGCTACTTGGTTGTTGAGGCACGGACACGGCCAAGGCCAGAGAGAGGGACGGGCTAGAGCTGCCTGTTCACTGTTTAGCCTCTGTGCCTTCCACGCTAGGCGCCTCTGTGTGCAGGTCCTCTAGGTCACCTGAAGGCCATCACACGCCTAGGAAGTCCCCACACACACAGCTCCTACAGTTGGGCTTCTCTGAGAGAGTGACCTTATTTCTCCCCCAGATTCATTTTTGATATTGTTGGGAGGCTGGGTTCCTCTTCAGATAGCAGTGTGTTGCCCTTGGGTCTTTAATGGCTAGTTCCTTTATTCTGAGAAATGTCTTTTTCTCTCTTGTTCCTGGTATGAAAGAAAAGAGGGAAAGACAGAAAAGGCAGGATTGTTTCATAAAAAAGAGACACACAAGGCATACATGGGTCACGAAGAAAAACTTGTTATTTTGAGGAGGAGGCTTATCCTAATAGGCCACAGCGCTCACACCTGGGGAGTGTTGAAAGTCTGTGCTAAATAAATAAGGCCTTTAAATTTGGAGTCCCTGCCCCCCGTGGCTCAGCATTCTGTTTCCTGTGTCAGCAGACACGCCTGTACGTCTGTTCTTTGAAGCACCTGCAGACCAGGCCTGGGAAGACAGTGCCTATTTGGTCAGGAGTGCTTTGAAGCAAGAGCCACCTTGCCCGAATTCCACTTCCCTGAGCTGACTTTTGGAGATAAACACTCATAGTTTCACCAGCGGCTAGCCGCTCTGTCCATGCAAACCCCAGAGCTGAGGCCTGTGCTCAGGCATGTATGCGCTGAGGCCCGTAGACCTGCTCATTACTCACCCTGATGGGCTGGCACAGAAATGTCTCAGACTTAATCACAACCTGTGTTATTTGCAGATTCTTATCTCCTGTCACACCTTTATGCTTGAGATACTCAAACAGTATCAGATAACTTGTATTTTCAAATTCCTGCCTTGGTGCTCACCGTTTTCTTGTTCTATAACCTGTCTACTGATAATGTGGACTTTCACCCAAGCCCTGTGATTCTGGAAAACGGGGACTGTTAAATCCTCCATCTTTTGTGTTCTGGAAAACTGCTAACTGCAGAGAACCACCCTTCCATATATGACTTGGACAAGACTCGCAGATGCCCCCTTTGTTTACCCGTGACAAGGCCAGACACAGATCTTCCATATTCCCATTTTTTGCCTCTGCTGTGCTATATCCTGTATGTTGCTGGTTTTCTTCATTTTTTGTATTTGTACCCTATTAGTCTGAGTTCTGGTTTGTACCTTAGGAGCTGGTGTATAGTAGGTGCCCAGTGACTATGAATTGGGTTCTTATTTTTCTTTTAAAGGTTTTATTAGAGAGCACAAGAGCATGCACACAGCGGGGGGAGAGAGAGAGGGAGAAGCAGACTCCCCGCTGAGCAGGGAGCCTGATACGAGACTTGATCCCAGGACCCTGGGATCATGACCTGAGCCGAAGGCAGACGCTTAACCGACTGAGCCACCCAGGCGCCCCCAAATTGGGTTCTGAAAAGAATTTATAGACTTAAGAGAAGTTAAAAAAAATCTTTAAACACTTCTTTAAAATTTGTGGACTTCAAAGGAGACCTATGACCCCTGCCTGCTTATTGAGTGAATCACCTAGTGGTAACCATCCACCCCACTATCCCTTCCTCCTGCCTTTGCTCTGAACGAGCCCTCACAGCCATGGCAAATGGGATGGCAGGATAAAGTACCAAAGAGGAGAGCTGCACAAAGAACTGCAGAGATTTGCTTAGGGTTGCCTGAGTCTCACACCGAGCACTGGTCAGCACGGGCATAGAAGGAGCCACATGAGAGGATTAGGGGAGCCCACCCAGGGCCTGGTTGTTTCTGTTCCTGTCAGCCAGAGCGAGAAACCCCCTAATTCACAGGGCATCTAGTAGAACATGCAGCAAGGTTCTGCCTCAGCAGTGTGTGAAGTGAGAACTAAAGTAATGCTGCCTCAGTCCTGTCAAAGTTTAAAAGCACCACCCAAAAGGATCAAACTGCCCGTAACTTACTGTGTCCCAGAACAAAGCTAATTGCTGCAATACAGAAATATCCAGCAACCAATAAGGTAAAATTCCTGATGTCTGACTTCCAACCAGAGATTACCAGGCAGCTGGGGAGCCTGGTGGCTCAGTCGATGAAGCATCCAACTCTTGATTTCGGCTCAGGTCATGATCCCAGGGTCGTGAGATCGAGACCTGTATCAGGCTCCATGCTGGGTGTGGAGTCTACTTAAGAATCTTTCCCTCTCCCTCTGCCCCTCTTCCCCCCTCCGCCCGCTCATGAATGCTCTCTCTCTTAAAAAAGAAAAGAAAAAAAATTACCAGGCAAGCAAAGAGCCAGTAAAATACAACCCATAATGAAAAGGGAAATAAAATGGACCCAGAAATAGCCCAGATGATACAATTAGTACACAGGCCATTGAAAGTTGTAGCTGTGTTTCAGATGCTCACAAAGCCAGAAAAATTCAACATGTTTGACATAGAAGATAATAAAAACCCACGTCAGACTTCTAGAGATTAAAACTACAATGTCTAAAATGAAAAATCTATTTTATGGGTGTCTTGGGCAGCGTC